TCTTCTGCGTGTGACTTTTTTGCTGCCACAAAAATGTAATGTTTACTATTAATCCTTTAAGGAAATGGTTTGACATTTCGAGAAACATGCTTGTGTGCCCCAAGTAAGATGACAAAGCTGACAGCACTCTTGGGCTTGCACGCTGAGCTAACACCTGTAAAAAACATTTTGGTTTTTACAGGTGATCATGTTTTTCACTTAAACGGTAAAATAAAGCAGAATGCGTTGATTTGTCAGCTTTGTAGGTGTGGACAAATGTTACAGAGTTAAGCTCGCCATTTCAAACTCTTTTTAGTCTTTTTGCTAACCCAACCAAAGCTAAAGCTTCACATTTAGCATGACATCAATCTTCTCATGTAACCATTTCCAATGAAGATCAGCCAAAGTCTGGACCACGAGTGATTACACCTACACTGGTCCATGGCAAAAAGAAAAGTGCATACACAACTAAAATAAGCCAGGGATGCAAAGCACACCAGTGAACATTTATAAGAGGGTGATTTGAGGAGGTCTTCCCTTTGTTTCAGTAAACATATAATCAAAAGCAAGACTTCTCAACAGGCTTTATCATCTGTAGCATCACTGTTGGTTGCAAACAACATAGCGGGCAAATGTAAAAATTTCAATTTGAAATGTCTTTTTTTTTGTACAAATACTGAAAGAGCAGTGGTTGTTCAAAGGCAACCCTCATTGCCTTTGAACAGCCCTCCCCACCCCCACTATCCCACCCCCCAGCTCTGAGAACATGCCACACTGACACTGCTGTTTCACAAGGAGAGGTCACAGACACAGAGAACACATCCTAATACTGTTGGGTAAACTTAGCCAAGCGAGGCTCCTGTCCCTGATTCCAAAAGAAAAAACATAAAACAAAATAACAAACTGAAACAGACCAAAAACAAAATACACGCATACACATGAAGTGCAAGTTAAACACAAAGAATTACTGCAGTGACATCTCCGAATGTACACAAAGCAAGAAAGTGTAGTTTGCATTTATCTTAAAAAAAAAAACAAAAAACAAAACACACACAAAAGAAAACAAAGAAAACAAAGGAAACAAAGCATTGAAATCCTGGCAGCTCTATGAGAGGTTTTAGGGAAGGCTTGCTGGCTTCCTGTGGGAGTCACATGACTTCCTTTTCAGCTCCAGTATTCCTCTTCTTTCATCTGCTCGCCTCCCCTCCCGTCACACCTCAGTTTTGGTCCCGTTGGTGAGCAACAGTGGTCAAAAAGAAGCAAGGGGTGGATGTTCCCATGTAGACCATGTAGCTCTGCGTGTGCTTCTTTCACCCCCCAGCTGTCAGTCCACTCATAGTCACACTCTCTGACTTTCAGTTTAACCCCAGAGGGCAGCGGGTCTTCTGCAAGTCCATCCTAAATGTTTTTGGAAAAATGACAACCAACACCATCTAGTGTTTCTGGAAATGTTGTAGAGTTCAGTCACGGAAGCTCGAAGAAAAACAAAACATAATCTCCAAATATATATGTATATCGAGATATACATATTTTTAAAAAAGAAGCTTTCGATCTCCAAGGACGACGACAACAAGAACAACAACTTGGGTCACAGCATCGACATCAACATCAGTTGACTCATGAGAAGCCGGAGGATCGTTGTCAGGAGAACAATAGTAACCTTACTGACTGCTCAACTGTGCATGGCATCCCGAGTTCACATTGTGCAAACACACACACGCCTTCGCGCAGACACACACTGTGTTAAATACAGACAGTAGTAGTTTAGCAGCAAAAAAAAGTTCAACCTCACCCATCCCCCCCCCGCCCCCAATAAATAAACAGTCACCAAATAGATTCAACTCAGAGTCACTCGCTCAGATTGAGTGTTTGCGTGCGCGTGTGTGTAGTTAAATGGGTGGTGTGGGTGTCACTCCGAGGGGTGGTGGGCTCATGCAAGAGGCTGCTGGGAGGTGTAGATGAAGTGGGGCGTCTTCTTCATGAAACACTAGAACAGCATGCTTTGCCTCCTGTTGATCTTGCTGTTTCCTAAAAGACAACATGTAAAATACATCACCCATAATGCCTTTGGTTTACGCCATAGACCGCAGGTGTTCCTCATTCAGAACTGCACACTGTGTGTGTGTGTGTGTGTGTGTGTGCACGCATGCATTTAGGCAATTCGAGGATGCTAGAACCGTCTTAGTTAACAGATGCCTTTTCATCATAAATAACTGATAGCAATAAAGCATTTTAAAGTTCACATTTAAATTTTAAGGATGGTTGACTCCACAGTGAGGTCACCGAACAGTTTGTGAACTACTTTTCTGAAGTCTCGAGGTTGAGATCAATGCTGATGCCTTCTTCGTCTTTTGAAACCAGATTCGAACATGTTTGAGAGAGAGTGGAGCTGATCAGCTTAGCTCTTGCTGCATTTGATCTTCGATATATTATTTAGCTATTTTTGGACAGGACAAAATGTAAGGACAAAGGTGGTTGGCTCTTTAGAGCGGCTGTTGGTACAACTGCATGCTGAACAGAGGATGAGTTCTTTAGAATTCATGGACCATAATTAAAATAAATAAATCAGCATCATGTTAATTAAAAAGCACTTGAAAATGTAATCGAGACCATGATTTCATTTCTTCATTAAACGATCTAAAAAAGCCGAGTTGGTTAAACATTTGGATTCTCCACCTACCTGACTCTGGATACGAGGAGTTCCTGTAGCCTGGGTCTCTCTGCAGCTGCACTTCTTTCAATGTGAATATCGATACACCTGAAACACAGGGAGAGGTTCAGTTACTCCGACGAGTAACAGAAAAGATAAAAGAATCGAGAACCAAATCCTCTGAACGACAGACAGCAGCTTTATTATCAAAGGTGTGTGTGCTCACTCTCAGGCAGTGTGTGGACTCTCATCCCAAGCTGCCTGAAATAGGAATGCTTCATTGCCTCATCAGCTGAAATTCTCTTCTTGGATTCGTACTGCGGAGACAGAAACAGGAAACGATAAGGATCCTGTGACTTTATCAAAAAACGCATCAGTGCAGCAATCAGGGAATTCACAGAGATATAGATTAGAAAAGCGAACAAGAAGGAGTTCGTTACTGTGCCTCCTGCTGTCATCATAAAGGAATTCATTACTAAAATAAATCTAGAGACTAGAATCTAGTGACAGAAACACACAAACGTAAACACATCAGCCTTTTTTCATATCCAGCAGATGAGAAGAGAAATGACAGGTAACAAACATCGGAAGTCAGATATGAACTGGTGATACTGTGGTTCACGGTTGGTGCCTTAAACTAGTTAGATTATTTTTCATTAGTTTAAAGTCCTTTGTTTGCTAGTAGACTTAGACTCTGAAAACTACTACCAGACTAAAAGTCAAACATATACAGGCAAGCTGGTTCTTCCATGCAACCTATGGGAAACCTGCCAGCACCCATAGCAAACATAAAGATGCATTTAATGCAGCACCAAAAAATGCATCAGTGCAGCAATCAGGGAATTCACAGAGATATAGATTAGCACCGTACACCTATTTGCAACAATACCCTGGGACTCTCTGCAACCACCAGTAACCATTCACTAACCCATTGAGCAATACACTTCTTTTCTTCTTTTTTTTTACCTGGCAACTTGTGGTTGCCGGGTGTTGGGGTGGGGTGTCGCTCTGTGTGACTGGGGCTTAAGTTACACCAAACCACTGATGATATTCATGTACATCTCACTATTTTTTGAGTAACTAAATCAGTTTTTAAAAAGCTGGGTGTGAATGGTTTAATACACAGGTGTTGAACTCCAGGCCTCGAGGGCCGGTGTCCTGCAGGTTTTAGATGTGTCCTTGAACCAACACAGCTGATTTAAATGGCTAAATAACCTCCTCAACATGTCTTGAAGTTCTCCAGAGGCTGGTAATGAAATAATCATTTGATTCAGGTGTGTTGATCCAGGGTGAGATCTAAAACCTGCAGGACACCGGCCCTCGAGGCCTGGAGTTCGACACCCCTGGTTTAACAGGAGCATTTAACAGAACTCAGTTTTGACCAGCTGTTACTATTTAACCAAAGGCTTGCATAAGACAAAGAAAACTAGGAATATCAGTGCAATATATATATACAACTACTTATACAGTATTGTGATTACTGTGACAGTAAAGACTCACTCTGAGGAATGACAGCAGCAGCTCGATGCCTTCACTGTCTAACCTAAAGAAGACAAAAAGAAGAGAACAGTTTGGGCTGATGGGAATCTAGGCGCTCATGGGAGGAAGGAAGTGGACAGACCTCTAAATGTTTTACAGGATTTCCTGCCTGCAGCAGGCATACACACACACAGACACAAGCATGCACACACACACACACACGCTCAAGAATATATATCAATTATATAAATGCAAAGGGGCAGATAAGGAAAAACAGATCCCACGTGCGAGCGGTACCTGGGGGCATGATTGATGATTGGCTGGGGTTTGTATTTGGGGAAGTTGTAGGATTTAAACTCTTCGATAGAAGAGATTCCTGGCCAGTTTTCCTCTTTAGGTGTTCCTGAAGTCACATAGTCACATATAGGTTGCCATGTTCAATTAAGCAGGTAACAACATGTGGTGAAACGTCTGAGTTGTTAAAGAGATCAGATCTTGCAGAAAATGCTCACCCAGTAGCCTGAAGATGAGGTGGAGCTCGTCTTCAACGGTGGAGCCGGGGAACAGAGGCCGACCTGCAGCCATCTCATAGAATATGCATCCAACACCCCTGGAGACACACAAACATGCAATTTCACACAATAAATGAGTGAGTGGGAGGTGGGGTTAACAGTTTTCAAGCTGAGAATAATTTGAATTAAAAATGCTGAAGATTATGCTCATGATGAGGCTAACAGTTTTATATGACACAAAAATGTTATTAAAGTTAAGCATTACCTCTTCACGCATTCATTTAAACAGACAAAAGAGGAGTATGTGGTGATCATGGAAAACATGACTTTGGCTAACTGTAGGCATACTACTGGTTTGTTAGCCAAGATCTGAGGGTTGCACAGAAGTAGTGAAACTGTAAGAGTGCAACAAAAACCACAAGCAAAACCTGTACCGTTTCCTTTAAAATCTTTTATTCTAAAGGTGCCCAGGTGTTCATTTCCGATTTCTCTCGCACTTTTCACAGATTTACTGCTGCTTAGCAAGTAGTTGACAAGTGTCTGCAGACGAGTCATCGTTTTCCATACAAAGTATGGGTGACCACAGCGATCTGCTAACGATCAAAGCCTTTGCAGGGGGGTATGTGTTGCAGTAACATGCCTCTTTGGGACCAATTTCACCTAGCAACTACAAGCAATCTCTAGCAACCACTAGCCAACCAGTTGCAGAATACACGTTTTTCCCTAGCAACCAGAGTAATTCATGACCAACTGGTGTCTAGGCCTGTGTAAATGGGACATTAGCTTCATTTCATTCCCTCACTTTATAAGTCCACAACTAACTGAAAATACAACCACACAACTACAACAACAAAAGATCTACAACTAACTAAATAACTAGTTTAAGGCACCAACTTTGAACCACATTATCATCCTCAATTCATACCTGACTGGTGTTTTGTTGACTGTCATTTACCTTCTTAAAGTTTTTTTTTTTCCACCATGAAATTGAAAGAATAACTAGTAGTTACTGTAACGTCGGAGCCTACAGTATTCACCTTCTTCCTACTTATGGCACCTTGCCTGTATAACCGTGCTTCTCCTTTAAAGTTTAGTTTTTCAAATCAGAAGTTGATAGAAACTTAGTTTTTGTTTGAGGCCTGCATTATTTATTTATTCATACACAATTAGGGCTGCACGATTAATCGTCAGAAAATCGCGATCTCGATTCATACTTATGTGCGATCTCATTTCCAAATGACAACGATTTAAAAAAAAAAAAAGAGACGACGATTGTACCGCATTTTGATCCGGGACGTAATCTGCATGAAAACAAGCGCTCACGCTTCCTGCTCGACAAAGGACGAGGGCGGAGCCTTATACCACGTGATACAGAAGCTGTGCCGTGTGATGCTAAAATTAGCAGGAAAAAACAACGGAGAGCACGTCAGGGATGACGAGAAAGTGACGGGAGAAAATCCTTCCCGCTCAACCACCCAAACATCAATAACGGGAACCTTATGCAGCGCTACCCGTCGAACTCCCGCAGGCACAAAGAAATTACGGAGGCTATTACTTATCACCTGACCAAAGATATGGCTCCATCAACACTGTGCAAAACGAGGGATTTAGGAAAATGATCAACACTCTAGACAAACGCTACACAGTGCCGTCCCGCAACTATTTTTCTCTTGTTGCACTACCTGCTCTATACACGCAGCGTCGAGCAACGGTGGAGACGGAATTTCAAGCAGTGCAACATTTTGCGGCAACGACAAAACGTGAGACATTTGTTGTTTTTATGTTTATTTATTGTTTTTATGTTCAGTCTCAACTGTTACGAAGTTGATGTGCAGTTAATAAGTGCAGTAAATATTTATATTGGAAAAGAAAATCGTGAGAGAATCGTGATTCTCATTTTATGCAAAATCGTGCAGCCCTATACACAATCCAAAGCAAATGAAAAGCTGTTATCATTAGCAGCTGCAGTAAAAAGAATGAAATAAGAAGTGCAGTACAGTAGAGAGTGCTGTTTAGTTAGGTCATAATTCCCTGTGGGTTTGTAACAACAAGGGACATGTGTCGCATTACCAGCAGCCATTTGATTCAGCATTTAATTAGTGATGATAGCAGTTTAAAACTATAAAAAGCATTATTTGTAGTTATTGTAAGCTACATACCACATATCGATCTGGGTTGAGTACTCAGAGGATCCCAGCAGAACATCAGGAGGTCGGTACCAGAGAGTCACCACCTCGTTGGAATAGGTTTTAGTTGGAACAGACTTGGCCCTGGCCAAACCTGCAAAGCCACCACAGACTCATAAGGATTTTTACACAACAAATCAGCATTATGTCTGTGAAGATCCTGTCCTGCTGGCCTTCCTCTTACCAAAATCAGCCAGTTTAAGTTCTCCTCTCTCATTGATGAGGAGGTTCTGTGGCTTCAGGTCCCTGTGGAGAACTTTCCTTTTGTGACAGTATGACAGCCCTCGCAATATCTGGAACAGGAAGATCTGGAAAGGTATTTTTAAATGGCTTGATGTTATTAATAAGTCAGCTCATGTTTTCATTACTTATGTGTATGCTTTTCTGATCTAATTTGCCTGATGTGATGGAAATACAAACAGAAGAAAAGACCAAAAGATGCTTTTAGACTCTTGGGAGAATTTATATGGAAAAATTGACACAAGAGTTTAATCTCTGTTAGACACACAGAAAATATAACAAAGCTGGAAGGGTTGAAAAAAGTTTATTTTACATAGCATGGGGAAAAAAACATCATCCTCACCTTCACATTATGCATACTCATTATGTTTCCACAGTCGTCCATGTACTGCTTCAGGTCTTTGTCCTTCAAGAAGAGGTGGCACCATTAGACAGGACGTACATGTACAAAAAGTCTATAAACGGATAGACCATTCACACAGATTTCACCCATTTTTTCTTTTTTTGTTTCTCTGTCATTCAACAAATCCACTCTGAGTCTTACCAGGTACTCAAAGACGAGTGTGAGGCTCTTGTCAGTGTGAACGATGTCATGTAGCGTCACAATGTTGGCGTGTTTCAGGTCCTTCAATAATGACACTACAGACGCACAAAGATGTTTACAAAGACAGAAACATTTAACATTTATATAATAAAACCTGACTCAGGAAAATGAAACACCAATTAAAAGGACAGTTGATAAAACAAAGGATTTTAAATCAGAATTTATTTTAGAGATAAGAAGGTTCAAAATGTAACATTCACACATTCGAGCCGTCTCTCTCAGGGTGTCACGTCTTGTTGTAGTCAACTAAACTAAACACTTGGATTCAACACTAGACTCCAGATGAAACACCAGAACTTTGATGTATCAGAGGACATAAAACCTGCTAACCTTCTCTGATGGCTGTGCACGGGGCTCCTTCCTCGTGCTCCAGCCGGATCTCCTTCAGCGCCACCAGGTTGTCAGTCAGTTTACTGCGTCCTTTAAACACTGTGGCGTAAGTTCCCTGAAAGCAACACATAGCATTAATTTAATGGTAATACTGTATAGCAAAATTACACTGTGAAGTGCATGTGGAAACTTGAGCCTTCCTCACCTCTCCCAGCTTGTCCAGTTTAATGTACGTCTCCAACTTTCCAAAACCAATCTCTGACTAAGGAAGAGAAGAATTTAAGCATATTAATTGCACTCATTTCTGCAAACAGACACTTGCAAACAAATGCAGTCTGCGTTCTGTTGACCATTCACATTTGAGCAGGCTTTGCAGGTGTTTTCCTGCTGCACCTGTAGCACCATCTTACTGTGTCCCCGCCCCCTTCAGAAAACCGAAGGTGTCTCAAATCTTTACATAACCCATCATGTACTCAAACTTTAGTTATTTGTAGCATTTTTTTTTTTTTTAATAATGTTGCAACAAAACCCACATCATACTTTTTCTTTCAGAGGGAAAGACCCAAAGTTCACATGTGCAGGATATGATTTAGATCAAAGGTTTTCAAACTGTCAAGCAATTAAGGGCCCATTAGGATCACGTCCTATTCCAGTTTTATTCTAGACCCTTACAGAGTACCAGTGCATGAAGCGCAGTTAAAAATACTCTGTGTTTATCTTATACTGATGCAGTTCATCCAGTCTGAAATGGGCTGTTTTAGCTCCTATCACTTTAAGACAACAACATGTTTGAACATGACCATATTAGGTATATAACTTATAAACAAAAGAGCCCAGAAGAGAGAAAAAAAAAAACACCTGGAGCCTCAAGCCTGAAGTAAAGAGCTCACATTGATCACTCGCTAAAAAAAGTAAATCTGTCCGTATTACATATAAATATTCAGTAATATTTATATATTTAGTAAAGACCCTTACACTTGGCTGGTGCAACAGAAAAAAAAAAGAATAGAGTCAAATCTTTTTCTCAAAAATTGGACTGATATTTAATATTACAGGACCTTCAGAAGAAATAAATCAAAGCAGCCCACAGATCTCTCACAAACTCAGTAGCAAAACCCAGTCTCACCAACAAGTGTAGTTCCAAAGCACAAGAACAAGATAATCCCCTAAGAAACTAAGAATGAATAATGATACATATGAATATTTCATGTATGTGTGCCCACAGAGCAGCATGAATCAAACATTTTCTATCATATCTGGTTTCTGACAGCATGTCTTCAGGGATTGACCAAAAAACCCCAAAAAACAAGAAGAATCGATATCAAGGAGAATGAAAGGCGATTAATTATGAGTGTTTACCGTCTTTAAACCTTTTTATTTACATTTAATCTTTCAAACAACTTTCAAAGGCAAATTCACGATGACCACAAATCAGTGATGATAACCACACCGCAGCAGAGAATTATGATCTAATTTTATAGGCTCCAAGTGTGAGCGCATGTGACTACAGATTAATCCATCTTGGGCTTGTACCAGGAAAATCACCATGGAAACCCGGCACAGAGGGTGTCTGGTAACAGGACTGCTTGTGCCACAAAGCAGTAAAAGAACAGAGACAAACAGACGCGCACACACTGACCAGCGAGGCTCGGCGCGAACGTCGGCTGAGCGGTTGGTCGAAGGGTGGGCTGCTAAGCTGCAACTTCTCCAGGTAGCCGTCAGGGATTCGGATGTCAGCAGGCAGAGACAGGCGCTTGTTGAGGTCCTAAAACACACACACACACACACACACACACATATATATAAAGAAGTCTTTATCTAACGTTCCTGAAGAAACCGTAAAGTTAGCCTGTGTAACAAGATCACACATGTGCTGCTGACACTTGTTACGTGTCGTCTGTATGTTGTGTAGGGCATGTTTCAGCAGTGAGCAGCACAAGACAATGTACCCTGCAGAATCCACCCACATCCCTGCTGCTTCTAAAATAACTCGTCCTCTTCTCCTCCTACTCCCAGAGACGACAAAAATCAGGTCGATCACCATCTTATGGAAGGTGAAAATAAGAGGCGGCCTGTTGAAGTGTGACTGCTGGTAAAAAACAACAACACCATGAATATAAAACTGTACCTGCGTTAAGCTCGTACAGCCAATCTGCACTCATACTGCACAACTCACATCTAAAGTGTTCTGGATGTCAGATCATATCTATTCCAGGATCAAAGTCAAGAACACCACATCTGACACTGACGAGCTTACATAACGCTGATGGATGTAATGGGGAAAAAAAGGAAGAAAAAAAACATTTAGTGGATTAAAAATACAGCGTGCATAAACTCTCCATCTTTGTACTTATCTTTAAAGTTTGGCCTCACCGCAAATAAATTATTCCCTCTCATGACAACAGCTTTTTGTCTTCTGAGACTGCTCGGAGAATAAGTTAGTATTATGAGTTCCCACAAAAGTCTGATCATAGTCAACATATGCATCTTTTAAAAGGAAAATTTGTCCTCCATGAAGATGGTGTCAATATATGATAGAGTCATGAAAAAGAAAGTTTTTCACAGGACTGCAGTTCTGTGAAAAACTAGGTACACACTATAATACAGTAGCTTTTAGAACCATCTTTAGGAGCGATAAGATAAGATAAGATAAGATAAGATAAGATAAGATAAGATATCTTTATTAGTCCCACAAGGGGAAATTTCATGTTAAGGCTGCCGACCTATTGCACGCAATGGCGGTGCCATCTTACCCTCCGACCCTCAAATGGTTATCTGTATGACTTTATCAGTCTCTCACATCCCTGTGGAGGAATTTTGGTCCACTCATTTACAACGCTGCTTCAGTGAACCGAGTTATGTGGGCATTTGTTCACACAAATCCCGCCACAGCATTTCAATCAGGTTGAAGTCTGGGTGTGATACATCACAGCGCCTCGATTCTTTACTTTTTCAGTCTGTTGTAGATTTGCTGTCATGCTCGGAATCATCGTTCTGCTGCGTGATTTCACGTGGGCCGAGGTTTAGCTGTCAGAAAGATGGCCTCACATTTCGATTCACAAGATCTGTCTAACCACACAACTACTATGGGAAGACTGGTGGTATGAACACAAAGGCACAAACTACCAAAATGTCTCCAGAGGTGCTCACAATTGAAAATGATCCCTTTTTTTTAGTTGACCTAATTAGCAGCACCTGCCTGCTACCTACACTCTTATGGAAGTGGTAAACATGTACCTTTCTCAGCAACACTGTGAGCCAATTGCTTGAAGCCTGGCAGCCTAGCCAAGGAAGACCCTATTAAACTGTGGTGAAGATGTGAATTGCTTTCTTAATGAGTGTAAGATAGGGCACTCACCCTGGGGGAGGACTGCACTCTCCAAAAGCCAATATTCTAACCATTTGTCTGTCAGCAGAGTTATACAAAATTGATCAGGTCAAACTTAATGAAACTTGGTGGAGAGGCGGTGGAGTGTGGACAAAGGGAACCAATTCATTCATTCTGAGATCTACAACACTCATTTTCAAACTGCGAGATATCTCATTGGCTAGTGCGATTTTTAGGTAGCTTCCTATTTAAGCTACGCTGCGCATCTTCTTTAAGAAGGAATCAACTCAAAGACTTTGTAGACTTCTGAAGCATCAGTTTAATGGGTTAAGAAAATACCCATACTGCTTTTATAATATAGGAAACAGGTTTTACCCAGGCATAGAGCTGGTTCACAAGTGAGAAACCAGAAGCCTGTTTATCTTTTACTAAGACCAGGTGACCGAGCTTTCGCTGTGCTCTTAACCTCTTTGCTGAGACAACTTTATGAAAACCTCCGCCAGCAAACAACCACAAGAAGAGCAGTGCGCTTACCCTCATGTAACGCGTATCTGCTGTCTTTGACCACATCCTCGATTTCCACTTATTTCATGCACAAATGAAACTAACATTTAAAAGGGGTGAAAAGCAGGTCAGTGTGCATGTGTGTCTCTGTGAGAGGTAGCATACGTCAGGGAAGGTGATAAGGTGGGTTCTGGCATATTTTACCATTGACCAGCAGGGGGCAGGGGGTCTCCAGGTGAATTCAGTCTTCCTTTCAAAATCAATCTTCCCCCAGATTAAAACAAACCCCAAACAAGTAAAAATATCAAATATGTTTTATAGTGCACATAATCTATGGTAAATTTATTCTATTAGGAGAGAAGAGATTTTCTGTAACTTACTAGTGAGTAACACCATAACAGGTGCAGATTTTCTTGGAGTAAAAGGGTTCAAATGATTACAAAACCACTGGAAAATTAAACAACTAGAAGGCATAAAAATCCCCTGATAATCATGAGATCTGTTTTAATTCAGCTCTCTTCCTCTTTTCTGTTTTTTTCTTATCTGAGCTTGTGTAAGGGACTAATTCTAATCTACCCTGGGTGACACCAATGCCAGTTTTTCATGTATAAATAACTTTCTTTGGGGTATTAGGAAAACAAAAAGCGGCAAAAGCTGACAACATGAATGAGAAAATAAGGAGATTACTAACAGGAGTCATTTAAAATGATTATGCAACAAAATTGGCCTAATGCTTGTTTTTAATACATTTTATATTGTATTATAATTCACCCCTGTATTTGAAATGCTACAAGTACTACTCACTTATACATGTCACACAGTTGTTTAAAATAGCACAACATAGCTGTATTCTTCTTTACAAGAAGAATAAAGGGGAGCATGCTCTCAAGTGGAGACAGCTGACATGAAGAAAATCACTGTGGTAACCAGCACAGATTATCTCGTCTCTTTACCAGCCTCTTCTTTTGTCCTCAGGGAGCAGGGCTGCTATCAGTATCATGACGCCCCGACTCTTAGAACCCATTAGCCGACAACCAATCTGTCCCAACCCCCTCCCAAATCACTTGAGGCAGTGGAGAAGACGAGCAGAAGGAGATGAGAGGAGGTGAAGCGTGGTATGTGGACTTGCAGCGTAAGCCGTTTTTACATGATTTACAGTGTGTGCATGTGTGTCGGGATTCTGCACGTCTCACCTCCATGGAGATTCGCCGGTGGACCCTGTTCCTCAGACAGACGCCCGTCGGAGACTGGACCTCGTCTGAAGACGTTCCTGATGCCTGATCGCTCTCCCCGTCAGATCCCATCTTCAGATTTTCGTGGACAATATCTGAAGAAAAAAAAAAAATCAAGGATAGGGCACAAGAGGGCTTTGGATAAAAATCACACTGGAACTGCCAGATTGAGACGGTTTAGGAGTGATCCAGTCCGGCTAATGATTAATGCTGTTTGTAGAACAGACCTAAACTTACAAGAATCAATAACTTTCATTATCTGTTGGTTAAAAAAAGGGAAAAACAAAGAAGAAAACACCCGAAGCTAAATTTCTTAAAGGATAAGTCAATAAATTAAAAAGAGCGCAGTTTCTACTATAAGTAAGAAGGGATAAAAAGTTGAGTTGCAAATCTATCTTATAAAGCCTGAGGTAGTATGTTCCAGTTGCTTTGTGTTCATGCATAAGATGTGTCATTTAGAAGCACATATTACCATATTTTAGACATTTATTTTTTATGGCTCTGTAGCTTCATTCAGAAGTAACCAACAGCAAATATTCAAAGCGTTGCCTGGTGGGCGATGGGATAATCTTGTTCAGATTTTTAAATCGTGACATTTGATAAATCACCATAAACACATCTGCTAAACATAATGCAGCTGATGAGATTTTTGGCCATCTTAAGTACAATAATCAGTGAGAAATGTACTTGTGAACTGATCGTGTTTTGGGTGAGCAAGAAAATGAAGCAAGAAGAAAATGAAGCAGGAGAAGAAAATGAAGCAGGAGAAGAAAATGAAGCAGGAGAAGAAAATGAAGCAGGAGAAGAAAATGAAGGAAAAGAAGAAGAACAAAAAGAACAACAACAGCTGGCAGTGTTATCACATTATTACCCAAAAATAGAGTTAGTTCAGGCAGGTGAAAAAGTGAAGCTCATCCACAACACAGGTTTCATCTGACCACAGCACTTTCTCCCAAGCCTTTGCTGAAACACTCAGATTAGGGGTCCCCAATCCCAGTCCATGAGGGCCGGTGTCCCTACAGGTTTTAGATGTGTCCTTGATCCATCACAGCTGATTTAAATGGATAAATTACCTTCTCAACATGTCTTGAAGTTCTCCAGAGGCCTGGTAATGAACTAATGCTTTGATTCAGGTGTGCTGACCCAGGGTGAGATCTAAAACCTGCAGGGACACCGGCCCTCGAGGACTGCGATTGGGGACCCCTGACTTAGATGTTCACTGACAAACTTGTGATTGGCCTGTACGTGTGCCTTCTTGAGCAGGTTAAGGCGCTGCAAGATTTCAATCCATTACAGCATTGTATGTTTTAAATGATGTTCTTTGTGACTGTGGTCCCCTGTGTAACAAGCTTCTCCCATGTAGTTTTGGGACTACATGGGACTCCCAAACATGGGACACCACCTTTTTTGTGATAATCATTCACCCCATGATTCAAGGGCGATTGATGATCACCTTATTACAAAGGTTCATGCTCATAATCTTGCAGCCCATTCCAGCACCGTGCAGATCTACAAGCACTTTTTTCTATGCTTTTTCTATCCAAGTAATTTCCAGTAACATTCACATATATGCACACTCCAATAGATGCATTGGAGAGCAAATTGGGGCTCAGTATCTTGCCCCCACCTACTTTGGCTTGCAGAGTGGAGCAGCCAGCGATTGATAAACCAAGCTTTCCCTTTAGCGGATCCATTCTGTACTTCCTGAGCTACAAGCACCCCATTAAACATTTAGTTTGATTAAGTTTGATCAATCGAGTGTCTTACAAAAAGTAAGACATGAGAAGAAACTTACAGAAAGAATATATGACAGAAACACTATCCATCAGTGACCACAGGGTGATGATTAAATAGTAAAGCCTGGGGATCATCACTAGTCTGTCTCCAAAGCAAACTTAATGAAAGTAAAAATGTACAGCTTTATTTCACAGAGCCCACCTTCTCCCATTCATCTCCTCTCAGACCCTTATAACCCCAGAGGCCCAAAATTGTCACGCCACAACATCGCTACCTTCTCCACAATAAAACTACCACTAACACAAAAGAGGCAAACACACTCAAGTACAAACCACATGCCCACCCTCTCCTCCGCATACACAAAAACGCTCACAGAGTTAATGAGTAGCCACAGTTTTGAGTAGTTCTCTGTCATCAATGTGTTAGCACCTCCAACCATGCAGACTATCATCAAATGGCACAGCGTGGAGAAACGGGAGGGAAAAAAAAAAAAAAGAAATCACTGCAAAGTTTCTCTTAAGAAGATTTAACTTTGCATGTTTCAAACATTACACTTGTTGATCAGCTCTTTCATGTGCTTTAACAACCAAAGTTATTCCCAGTATACCAATCTCACTGACTAATTATGTACATAGATGTATTTATCCATTCATCACTGACTTTTGAGGATGGCGTGTATCTACAAATCTGTCAGCAGGTAAAGTAAGGTCTAAATTACAGACAGAAAAACTCAAACCTCAGTCAACAACATGGGCATAATTGAGAAAACGATTTCTTTAGCGTAGACATGCAATCATATACCACTGCAGTTAAAATTATCTGGATTTTTAATGGGTCCAAGTCTGCTTGTTAAGTCGTTTTGTCACATGACCAGAATTCTCAAGTTGGTTCACACTGCATGGATTTCAGCTTGAACTATTCACACTCTCTCTTCTAACGTGTACTGCTGCTGTTTCACAAAAAAACATTATAATGGGAAATAAAGTGATTTTTACTGTGAAGAAATGATGGAAAAATGAAAAGAATTGGTCACATACGTCAATCCTAACTGCACTTCTGGATTTATTGATCAAACATTGATCAGGGACAGGCATGATGAGTAGTTAAATAAAGATTTGCAAGTTATGGGACTGCGGACTGAAAACTCCTCCACAAAGTAAACGACTCCTGCTTTATGACCTTGTTTGGCTGTGCTGTAAACAGTGCATAAGTCACTCTTGTTTTTAAAGCAGGGGCTCCCAGAATTACACGAAGTATCAAAGTACGCTTGTTTCAAACAGTGTCCTAAAGTTTTGTCAGGCCAACCATGAATCAAATTATTTGAATTTTATTATCAACTGTCATGGGTAGTTACTTTTACTTAAAAGGAGAAGCTTCTGTTTTAAGTTGATGACATATGAGTAATTTTATTTTTATATATTTTATTTTATATATATATATATATATATTAGGGGTGCAACAATACTCGTGTCGATATTGAACCGTTCGATACAGTGCTTTCGGTTCAGTACGCATATGTATCTAACAATACAAAATACAAACAGAACAGAATACAAACAAAGTTTTACATTTATTTTATCAACTTTCCTTCTGACGATGCTGTCTGTGTTGAGCGCTCAGTGGATCTGGGCTCGACAGTG